ATATGGACAAAGCATTACAAGAAGTGCTATAGGCTAAGTACAGGTGGTCAAAAACCTGGAGCTGAATCAATTCAATCTTGGCAGGGTAAGCTGTGTAGATTAAACTGATACACAAGTGAATTCACTTTTGATTCTGCAAATGGAGCCGCATGCTTGCAGTGGCCCAGGCCAGAAGCTGGGGGCTGCTAGAGCAAACCTGGGGGGAGGGGAGCAGTTTGTGGAGGAGGTGGACTGTGAGTTAACTGGGATCTGAGACAGAAGTTCAATAAATCAGTTTCACCTAAATAAGTTAACTCTGATGCTACTTCCATCCAGGTTTATCTTAACCTGGTTTTGGTCATTTTGAAAGCAGTTTATGTGCACTGAACTTCTGTTGCATTACAGGTTCAAACCAGTTTGTGATCACTTATACTGGCTTATGTGTAATTTCGCTCCCTAGCCATAGAGAACAGTTAAACCCATGAGAAATTAACTGTGACCCAGTAGTTCAAATGGGAAGACTTGCATGTCTAATTCTCATAACACCGTTGCATGACACTTCTTTAGTGTAATTGTGGATACAAGGATGGGGGGAGTGAGGGGAATAGAAATTTTCCTATTTGATAAAAAATAAAGTAAAACTGGCATGTTCTTTTCTTATTTTTAATTTTGAAAATGTACACAAACTGGGAGAGGGAGGAAGGCAGAAGAAACATAAGCCATGGAATTTAGATGTGTGCATGCAAACACATTTTGCTTTTGTTTTTCAATGCATTAAGGGTAAAAAAGTTAAGTATAGTAAGAATGTATAGTAGATAAATTGTGTTAAGTGATATATATGTGCTTGGGCTTTTTATTTTTATTTTTTCTTCCTAAACTATCGATTCCTCCTTAACTTATAGTGTTGCAGGTGATTGGTATACTTTTTGTGCATCATTTAATTGCTCACTTGGTTGCCATCACTATTGACCCAGCAGACCAAAATGTGCTGGCCAAGAAGAACTACAACAACCCCATGCCAGTCTTTGATAGAAGCAAACACAGACACGTCATCCAGAACCAGCACTGCTATCTCTGTGAAGTAGATGTGTAAGTTATTCAGTAATAATACACTGTAGGGAATCATTCCCCCCTCCTTTCCCCAACTCCACTCTAGAGGCATTTCTTCACTATTGTTATGACTTCCTGGGTGGCCAGGTTGGATTGGTAATAACCCTTTAATTATAACTTATCTGTCTAGAATTATCACTTCATATTTAAGCTTGCTTGACACTATTATACATGAGCAGCTGATGCCACCTGAGTGAGGGGGGGCATATGCCCCACAGTGACCAGTCAGCAACCAGCGGGGGCAGGGAACCAAGAAGCATGAGCAGCGCTCCCAGCAGTGCCAGCTGTGCTTCACCTATTCTTGCTCCCGCCTGCCCCCCCTGCCTGTCCCCTAAGTGGGGAGTGCTGCCTGTCCGGGGGGGTGGTGCATCAGCGGTCTCAGGGGGTGCACGTGCACCCCTATGCGTTGCCACTGCTATTATATATTTGAAAAACTTTTGAGGGTTGAAACTTTCCATTCTGGGACCTTGTGCCAGTCTGATTTTTGAATGGTTCTGCTGTTTTGGAGAACAAGTGAAACAAGAACATGTACAATTCTTACAAACTTTTTAATTAAGAAGCCCTAGTGTATGTACCCTTAGGACTAAGGCCTTGAAATATAGTGGGAAGCAGAGGCATAACCAGCTCCTTCAGTGTCTGGGAGGGGTGGCATGGGGTATGCCAACCAGTGGGCAGTCGGTGAGGGGAAGGGAAGTGGGGAGCAGTCTTACATGTTGCTACTCTCAGAAGGTTGAAGGTGGCAGCAGCTGCTGCTGCTACTGCTGCTATATCATCCTTGGCTCAGGCAGCAGCAGTCCTGTGGCTGGGCTCCATGAGAGCCAGCTTCTGTACCCTGTTTGCATTCACTCGTCCCAACCCTCCCAAGTATGTTACTGGGTGCAGAGCTGTGCCTACAGTGGCAAGAACTCCCCTGGGGGTGGAGGTAGTGAGTAACACTATTTTACTCACCCCTTGTCCCCCATATTCATTGCTGTCCTGTCTGGCTGCTACGGTTGGACACGAGCAGTAATAGGACTGTGCATGCTGTGACAAAGATTCCCAGGGTCGGAGGATGACTCCAGTACCCTCTCAATCAGTGCCTGGGGCTGGTGCCCTGCTTTGCCCCTCCCCCATGGTTATGCCATGGGTAGGAAGGCCACCATGGGATGTGCCTTTTTCCCTCCCTATAGAAGTTCATCCCAATAAGTGCCTGAAAAATCTGCGCATTGTGTGGACTGGTAAGAAAGCAGCAGCTGAATTCCCAAATATTCCACATGCCCTCATTGCTCCTGTCTGTTAACAGCTTGAGGCCATGCGGAAACTAACTTGGTAAACTGCCATAGCTCTACAAGGGATTACCTGGGCTTTCCTGGAAAATGCATCTTTCAGTTGTTGTCATCTGCTTTGGTACTGGGCTCAGGAAGGGGAGAGTAGACTGTCTGTCTCTCCAGTGCCCGTAGTACCTTTCTGCTGTTGCACAGGCAGTATGGAGGTGAAGGATGAGGCATCCTCAGTGGAAACCTATCGCAGACTGGAAGAGGCTGTATGTTTGTTTTCATACCTGTGATACTTGGGGGTTTTTTTAACTCTGGTTTTGGTTTCTTTTTGGTTTTTATTGCATTCTGTTTTCCTTCATAGAGGGCCCAAAGCTAAACACTGTAGTGCCTGTAATAAGTGCATTGCAGACTTCGATCACCACTGTAAGTGGCTCAATAACTGCGTGGGAGGCAAAAATTACTGGTAAGCTAATACAGGCTAGCTCCGAAAGTAGTCATCCATGAACAGTCAATGGGATCTAAGTTTCCCAGTGAGCAAGTTGCTTTAACATTCTTCCTTCTTACCTCCTTTGATATTTTACTACTTCAGTTTTAACTGAATTAGCAGTTTGTTTCTGATCGGTCTGCTGAAAAATATAGTATCACACCGATATATAATGTATATAAATATCGGTGTATGTATATTATAATAAATATAATACAATAGATATGAATAGTATATAATATAATAAATATATAATATTGCTAATATAATATTATGTAAATATAACATTATGTAAC